GGGATTTGAGAATAAGACCATCTGCATGCACCTGGTTATGGTACTGAAGGGGCAGACTAAAAATCAAGTATATCCTCATCTTCAAATGGAGGGGCCACCTCAGAACCATGCAAGCTCAAAAGTCGTGACACTTGTTTATTCCAGGACTATTTTGGACCTTGCCATCCGTCCCACCCATTGGCAAAAGACCAGGCAGAAACCATGCATCAAAGTCAAAAAGTCTCTTCAAAAGTGTTTTGCTTTGATGAATACAAAGCGATAAAAGAAAACTCATTTATCTGAAAAATTCCAGCCATCTCATGTGAGATGTGTGTTACAGTGACACCGTTATCACTGTCCTCCATGAGCAGCAGGGTCTGATACAGGTCTCCCCCAAGCAGCTAACTCTTCTAACACAGCACATTACTGTTTAGCATCACTATCCATTGCTGATGCAGCTGCAGCTAGTTTTCTCTTCATGTGACATGCCTAGATCTGAGAAAATGTGAATAATTTTCCTAGAAATACTTCAAAAAACATTGGACAAAATGTTGCACGGAAGTCCAGAAAAGTTATGAATTGGCAAGCAAGCCAAATCTAACTTTTTTTATTTATGCAGGCAATTTTCCCACCGAATCAGTCTAGAAGTTTTCCAGAGTGAAATATAGACATGTGGGAATTTGACTAATTATTTCCACTTTACTGCAGTGGTACTGCAGAACACATAGATCAAGGGACTTACAGTCTAATAAGTTGTTTTTTTTCCAAAGGAGTGGCGCTCTGAGGAGTCAACTGTGATTTGGACTGCCCTCTTACAAAGCAGTGAGAGAGAACTCGGATCCCTCTCTTTGGGCCTTAGATCTGGATACTAAGGAGTAAGCAGAGCAATATGCCCGCTTAGGTTTGTCTCTGCTTTGTCACATAGAAAGACATGAATTAGTTTGGGTATCAGAAGCAGCCACTGCACAATACCATGAAAATCTCTGCTGGCTAATTTTTCTAAGTGGAGTGATCTGTTGTCATGACTACCAAGTTATCTCAGGTTTACTTCAACAGAAGTATTGAGTAGATTTTGCCTTTTTGCAGCTTGCAGATTGTCTGTGAATAAATGCAAGATTCTTAACTTGAATTTTATTCAGGATTACCAGTGAATAATTCATAGCCTGTGGGCTGGTGGTAGAAGGCTTGTTTGTGGTATGGAGTTAGTGGTGTCAGTGGTTTGAGCAAGCCATTGTGGCTGTGCAGTGGAGAGGTGTTCAGGCTCCTTGTGAGCATGTACCACTGCATCCAGTAGCAATTCCCAACGACTGTAAAGTGCTGGAATAGAGTGGGGAGACTTGATGTGTCTTGCATCTTCTCCACAATGCCAATGCAGAACATAAACAGAGACTCAAGAGGGTTCCAAGCGGCAGAAGGGGTACCAATCCTTTCACACATCTCTGCTGCACTCTGAGGGAAGAGGAGTCCTTGTCATTGTCATCACCAGCTCGAGGGAGAAAAGAAACTCATTGCTTGGATTGATGGAGAGATGAAGAGGAACTGCTGCTGCTGAGCGGCTGACCCCAGAGAGTGAAGAAAATTAGAGAATCATAAAATGATTTAAGTTGGAAAAGACCTTTAAGATCAAGTCCAACTGTTAATGGATCATGAGGAAGTGATTCACATTCCAGTTCCTGGATTATGGTCCCTTCATCTCTGGTTTATGATCTTTTCATTTTTGCCTGAGAGGAAGCTGAGATTTTCAGCTGGAGGATCCATGAGACTTTATGGTGAGGACCGTTATTTGAAAACAGCCTGAACTACATCCTGAGCAGCAGTGAGTGTCTGAAGGCAGTCTAGATTCCTCTGGATTTTATTGTGGAACCTGGGGGCTATAAAATGCCGGAGAGGAGAATGCAAATGTTAGATGATGCTAAGCCAGCAAGAGCTGGCAGGAGTAAGAAGAAATATGGTACTTTTCTAGCAGACTTTGAGAAACAATTGTGGGTGGGTAACAGTGAACAGAGCTCAGAGCTCTGCAGCTGCAGGAGTGAATCCACCAGCCTCCTTGGAAAGGTCCCACTGCAATCAAATATGTGCTTATTTGAGAAAGTACTGCCAAGAGTCTGGGTTTTCTACTGGAGAGGAAACGTCAGGATTTGTGCTGCTGAGCCAAACAAGCTTAAGCATCTTCAGTTTTCTGTCCACAGTATCAGAGTATAACATGACAGTTACAGCTGATGTACTTCATGGGTGTTAGCAGAAATTTCAGTAAGGTGATTTTGGGAGTAACAAAAGCAACTTTTGCTGCAACTGATACAACTGTTTTACAATGACAAAATGATTTGGGTAGAGATGTTTGCAAAGTCCCTTTTAATTTATATGTAGGCCCATTTAGAAATGGTTTCTGAGAAACTCCTGAGAGTCCTTGAGGCGTTTTTCCATGGGAATGAAAGGACAGTGCCCTTTCTCTTGCAGACAGTAATTCATAGACTTTTTATTTTTCTTGTCAGACATTGATGGCTCCAGAACTGAGAGAGATAATATTTAGAGATGGTTCTGTTAGCCATAAGCAGGTGAACCTGTAAATATGGATTGTCTATGTCACTTCACAGATATCTGCAGTAAAGCTGGGTTTATATCTTCATTTTTTTTTAATTCATGACTGATGTTTTCATTTTGCTTTGATGTACTACATAAACTATGTAAGAAATTACTCAAATGACAGAATTTGATCTTTTTGCTTATACAGCCTTCTCAAAGAGTGAAGGTTGCAGCTCCATGAAGTTCAAAGTCAAACACTGGATATGAGGCTTGGTCATCTTTCATGTTTGTCCTCATTAGAGGAAAAACTAAGCAACTTCAAATTGTTTTCTACCATTGCAGTACCATTTTCAATTAACTTTAATTCCTTGGACAATAACATCATTCCATATCTTAGTATTTAGTAGGAACTTGACGTTCTAAAAGCACTGGGCTAGGAATCAAGTTGTCAAGACACCAAGACAACACCAATGTGCAAAATTTTCTGAAAGAAAAAAGAAAAAGGTGACAGTGCGCAGATCATATCACATGTGGAGGGCAGAATTTGCGTCAGGAGTTCCGCATCCATGCAGGAGATCCTTCACTGCCTGTAACAGCAGACCTCCGAATGCAGGCAGAAAGATTGCTACAAAATGAAACAATTTCACAGAAATAATTTCAGAATGAATAAAAACAGCTATTGTACAGGATAGTATGAAATAGAAAATGAACTTTCTGTTTAGGATAGATCTACCTGGTTTCTGGCAGTGACATGAGAGTTGGCATCATAAATGGGATTTGTTTCGGTGAATTATAGCTTTGGTAAGTTGTCTGAACAAAGGCTTTTGGCTCTTTTCAGCACTGGTAGAGAAGGACAGGCATGTTTTTCCTTCTCTTCTGAAACAGGTGGAATGAAATACCTGTCACTGTTTATTACAGAGGTTACTTAGACGACTGGCTGTGACAAGACAAGACAGAAGTTAGGCAAGGTGAATCTTGTCTCATAGTACAATTTTCCATGGTCAGTGCATTCATTCTTTGTGATCAGAGCTGGCTGGGAATCACTGAACAAAATAAATTCCTCTTGAGAAAATGCCAGTTCCACCACGTGGCATCTATCATGGAAATGTCCCCATTGAGAAAGCTGCTTGCTTTCCAACTGCTGAGAAGAGCAGGCTTTCAGTGCTTGTGTCCTCAGTACCAATGTACCATGCAGACTGCCTCACAGGTGTGACTTTGAGACAACATAGGTCTTGGCTGGACCCCTGGAGCACATCTAGCACAGGATGCGTGGCCTATCCTTGTGCTGAAGAAGGATTCATCCCATGTCACAGCACCTACCGGGAATGTGTCATTCTAATCCACAAGTGATAGGCATTAAGGTGTCTTCTTTCGAGTGACAGTGGACAAATCCAACTGCTGTCTGTCCTGTATTTTTGGAATAGAAGAGGGGAAGGAAACTTTTGCTGCACTTTGGCACCCTGTAACTCCATGAGCCAAATGTGAGTCATTACAGACATCCAAGTCAGGAACTGTGAATGATGATATCTCAGCCTTTCTAGCTCAGGAGTCAGTCGTTTGTGTGGTTTAATTTTCTTCTGTAAGGAAGAAGGTGTTTGGAGTTCTAAACCCCAACCCTTTTATTCTTTTATTCTTACTCTATTATTTGTATTCATGGATAAAATATGTACAGCTTTTTAGTTTGGGGATTTTTAACAAAGGCTGGAAGCTTAATAAAGTGAAGAATGTTGACTAACATTTATTTATATTACCATTTTGAAATGCTATGCATCTGTTTTAAAGGTGGAGGAGATTTTGTATGGAAAGTGACAACATTTACAACATAGGTATTCTAAATGTTGTGTTTTGTTTTTTTTTTTTTTCCCATTAACTTCTTCTTTAACATTTGATTAAAAAAAGTTGTTGTCTAGTGAATCTTTTGTAGAGAAACCCAAAAGCTGGTAAATGAACTGGTGAAAATGTGATACCATTTCCTGTACCAACCTTCTGAAAGTGCTTCCCTCCAACACTGGCCTCTGTTTCCAGCTTGCTAGCTGGAAGGAGAGCCCTGAAACAGTAGTATTTCTGCTCCATCTGAAAGTCTTTTACTTCAGGTCCTTAGACGTATGACCCTGAGATTTGTGACCCTTCTCTAGCTTGGTGTTTTATCCTGCAAAAGGATGTATTTAGCACTCTGGGAGAAGTTCCTTACAACCAGTCTGCTCACTACATTGTTGCCCTTGGGGCACAGTTGATGTTTAGCAGAGAAATTTCAAATGGTAAATAATCACATATCCAATGAAAGTGTTATTCCTGTTTCTGTATCGCAGTGATTAACTGCAGTTAAACCTTACACTAGCCTATCTCTCCTTCCCATAGGCTGTTGCCTAGGAAAGTTTCCAGATATTTATTTTTTATGGAACACAAATTTAATGAAGTGAAGAATTTGAGATTTACCAACTTTATTTTTAGAGAAGAAAAAAGTTTTGAACTAACTTCAGTGTTCTTGATTGAAAAGAAAGAAAAACATGAGTCACAGCCTGGGAACTGGGCACATCATCTTCACATTGCATTACTTTTCTTTTTTTAAACTCTTGTTTCTTCTTTCATAAGTTAAGACATATCCATGTCCATAGGTACATTGAATATGCTAGGCCCAGTAGACTGCATAGGATAAAGAGAAGATAAAATGACATGTGTTAGCTGGATATTTGTTTCATTGACTTGGATGTCACCTGCTAAGGTATTCTATTTAATCATGTCCCTGATTAAATTGTTCAATTGCTGTATTTATTTTATTTTATAAAATGTATACACAATGTTTTTATTTACTATTAACAGATAATTTAACAAAGATTTTTGAGACTTTTGAGCTGTATATTCATAATCTTTCAGATTCCAAAATTTTAAATTTGTACCAATTCCTACTGCACCTGTAAGATCTTAGTTGAAATTTACTCTTAAAATAAAATCGTAGTTGGTCACCAGTTCTGCTAAGTCCATACTATTGGATCATCCCATCAGAATACTAATCCTTGGCTTGATCTTGCTCCCCCGGACTATTTGGGAACCCAGAAAACTGCAGGTCATTCTCATCCTGGCTTATTCATTGTTGGGCTTCTCTCCTCATGTCTGAGTAACCCTCCACTGAGCTGGGCTGTATGGACATTGGTGTCTTGCCAAAAACTCCTGTTTCCCAAATGATTGCATATTCGTTTCCATTCACTGCAGCTCACTTAAATACATCCTTTGTGTTTGATACTGTCATATTTATATACTTGCAGGCTCCTGTTGCACTATACTTCACTCCCTCATTCTTGCAATTGAGTTTGATTCTCCATACACCAAAACACCTTTTTACTCTGCCACTCTGGGTCTTGTATGGATGTGAACATCTGATCCAAATAACATGCAAGTAGAGGAGTCATCTTCTTTTACATGTGCCACTAATATAAGAGACGTCTGGTTTCCTTACCTATAGAGAGAATAGAAGTGGAGGTTGCCTTCCTGCCATACTGTAGATATATTTTTAAAGAAGGTGAAAGAAGACATTTTGTTTGGCAGTGTGAGACTGGAGTTGATAAAATACAGAAAAATGCACTGCATGGAGCAGTTAGATAGTGGCAGAGGAAAGTATTGTCCTAACAGAGTACAGTAGGCTTTCTCTAGCTCTTTATGAAAGTATCACTGTCAATCTTCATATGATCACTCTTTGGGGATCTGTTCTCTCTCTTGGTTTCTGCTTTGCTCATGTTTCCTCTCCTATTTTCATCACAGATTCTCTTTATCCTGGTAGACAGCAATTTGAAGAGCAATGAACGAACAGTGTCATTCTTCAAACTGAAGAAGTCTCAGCTGCCAGCTCTGGCTATATTCCACACACCAGATGAGGAGCAGGATGTGTTGACTCTGGATGAAGTCTCCGTTGAGCGTGTACAAGACTTCTGTAATCGTTTCTTACAAAGAATGAAGAAGGTAAAGGGTGACTCCTGTACAGTCTACAGATCTTGTAGGACGATGCTGCTTCTCACAAGGGTCTTGAAGATTACTTCAGTTCCTTGAATGTCTCCCAACCTCTCCCACCTCCTCTTTCATTTTCATTTGCACCTGAATATCAGAAAAACATTAGATCTAGAGCAGAGCAGAGATGGTTGTCTTTGCAGAGTCTCTTTCTTCATTGAACTCTGCCTTCTACTCTACAGAAGGAAGACTTCACTGACCTCTGCAATTGTATGAAGGTGTCAGTGAAGCATCTGTTTTCTGGGAACAGCAGCTGGGGAGACAGAATGAAGAGTGGTTTCAGACACTGAGAATGAGGGTGGTGGGTGGCAGCACATAAGAGGGGATCAGAGAGACAGTGGCATGGCTAGGCCGAGAAGGCCTCAGAACAGAGTATACAGACAAGGGCTCAGGAACTCTAAGAGAGGACTCTGTTGGGAGAGGGACAATTTAATCTTCGTGCTCATTCAGCATTAAGAGTTCTCTTTCTGTCAAAGCTCATCTTCATATAGCACAGAGACTTTGTGTGTCAGGACCCTGTGTTGTGCAATTGAAATGGGATAGGCAGGGCAGTGGCAGAGACAGCAGAGGGAAGCATTTAAGTTGGTTTGTTTCCTTTTATCACTGTGCTGAGAAAATGAGCAATGTCAAAACTGATTTCATGCCTCTAATGTGTTTTAGAAAGAAGACGAATCTGAGGAGAAGGCCCTCAATGAGGAACTCTGATTCTTTCTCAGCCAACAGGATAATTGTGCCCAGAGTCATCTGTTTCTCGTGTATGAAGAGTTCACTGAGCCCTGCAGCTCAGGAATTTCTGGGGTAGTAGGATTAAGGGGCCAAGTCAGTCACGGATTCCCATCTCCATGCTATGGACCTGTATGCTGTCTGTCCTCTCTAGGAATCTCTTCTCCTTTCTCATTTGTTGGCTCCAGCTCTCTTTTCTCAGTACTCCAGGAGCTCTGATATTGCCCTGCACTGTGTCCTTCCATGCCACCTCTGTTGGAGCAAAGGGTGATAGAGCAAAGTGGCAATGTCAGAGATAAAGCTTGTAGTTCTCAGAGATCTGTTTCCCCATTCTCTTTGCTGTTGGTGCCATGCTGGGATCCACTGTCAGCCTCTCCTGACACCAGGAACAGATTGGTTGCTTGATGTCACATGAACTTTTCGGTTTATTTTATTAAATAAAGCAGAAAGTGAATATCCTGAATTTTTGTGTAAATGTGTGATTTCCCACTCACCATGTCTTTCACTTACGGACAAAGCCTGTGTATTGCTGAGTGAGTAAGCTCAAAATTCTCCTTTCCCTGAATTTAACCAGGCTTGAAATGCCTAATCAATCAGATTGGTTGCTGAGAATCATTCCCCATGGAACTGGACCCATCATCAACAGACATTTCCACCAGGATGAGAGTTTTCTGTGAAGTTTTGGGATCAGAACAGCACTGAGTACAGCAGGTCTGAGCTGGTACAGCAAAAATGAATGAGCCTATGATGCCGATTGAGGCTAAGAGGAATGGGATCTGTGGCAGCAGGGCAGTGGACATTGCATTGCAAGACAGGGATATCTCCACAGTGCATTAGAGGGAAAGGGTAATGTCTGTGTATTGACCTCAGACATCCCTTGGATGTCCCAGTGCTGGCATACAGGGGACAGGGACTTTGAAGGCGAGGTGTATGAGCCATGCCTGTTCTGCTGTTCTAGTTGCATGCAGTAGGCTTGCCTCATACTTGGCTCAGCATCCTTTGGCATGAAGTATGGATGCTCCTGTCAAACAATGACGGCATTGTCTCTCCGGGCTTGAGAGACTTGGCTTGGGATAGGGAGCCTAAGAGGCGTAGAGCTGAGAAACCTTAGCCCTTTCTCAGAGATTAGCCCAAGGCTAATCTGGGAAAACTGGGAATAGAAAGAATTTGTTCTTGGGGATGAGGCAAGCACAGCTCCTCACCACAAAGGGAGAAGTCAGGAACTGGAAGGGTTGCGAAGTAACTGCCAGCCGCCATGATGAGGGCCACAGCAGGGAGGCTTTCGGTACAATAGAGGCAGGTGCTAGCCCTGTGTTAGCTCTTGCCTCTTCCATGTGGATCAAGCTGATGTCTTTCATCTCCCTAAGGCTCTCTCTACCATGCAGTTGGACTTACCTCCTTTAGTGCTCTACCGTTGCTTCTCTGCTTACCTAAAGCAAGTCCAATGCTGTAACAGTTGGTATGGGGAATCAAAATTGCTGCACATTTCCAAGGAAAAATAATATGACTAAAACAGTATTCAGAATTGTCCCTTGTGTTGGCAAGGCTGGGGAAACTCTCCCTGCACAGGGAGCTCTCCCCTAAGAGGCAGGGCAGTGGGCAGTATGGGGTCTCAGAAGCTCTATGGTCAATGCAATAATCAGGAATTGTTTCCTAAATGAGGCAGTTCAGAAAATACTGGGAAAAGAGGGAGGAGAGGAGAGAGAGGCAAACCACTTCTGTCTGTTCAGTCCTCCCCTTGTCACAGCTGAGTGCTCCCTAACCACTGGTTTGCATGTGGCCTGTGAGAAGCTGTGGTATTGCTTCTGGACACAGCTAGATAATAGCACTGAAGATGTCAAGGGAGAGGTGAGTTTGAGGCATTTTGTGCTGCATATTTCTTTCTTTAGGCTAGTAAAAGTGGAAGCACCTGCCCTCAGGCCATAAAACTGTTTTACTCAGGTGTCCCCTCTTTTGAGCAGCCATTTCAGTGACCTTCTGCCACTAGCTTGTAGTCCCAGAAGTGGAGATGTCACTGTCATCAGCTGGAGCCTACGAGGCCATAAGGTTTGGTCCGTGGGTTTAGTGTTCATATAACAGTTGCAGTGAGCTATCTCTGCAGAGCTATCTCTTAAGTGTCTTTTTCTCTGAAGCATGAGACTGTGAAGGGTGGGTCACACACCTGCCACTGTTTGGTGCATTGGATTTACACACTAGTACTGGAGCTGCAAGTGAAGACTGCTTCTCAGTGGCACTCCTTGACAAGAGGGGCCTTGCCTTGTAGCATCACATGGCTGCACTGCAGCTTCTTCTCCTGCTCAGTGAGCTTAGCCAGGAGATGCTGTTGGTGAGCAGAGCAAAGCATGCCCTCACCATTCGTAGGGCTGGGGATCTGTCTGCATCAGGTGACCTCCTGAATGAGGGTGTGTCTAGTGGCAATGTATATGCCTGAATCTTGCTGGATGCTCTTGTGGCTTTTGCACATTGAAGAAAGGCTGCAGAAGTACAGGAAAGATGCTGAGAGCAGGAGGTTGAGCCCCAAAGAGAGGGGAAGGGTCTAAGGTGTCAGAATGTCTCACTGCTTTTGGCTGGTGGCTTAGCTCCTGGGTGGGGGGAGAGGTTATAGTGCTGGACTGGAAGAGCGTGAAAGAAGCCTTGACTTTGGTGTTGGAGTTCCCTGTGCAATGCATGAGGCTCGCCAGTCCTGCATGTGCCCTATGTGAGGGGCATGGTGGAGGGAGGATCTGTCGTCTCTGACCCTAGGGCTGTGCAAAGCTGTGAGCACAGGGCTCAACCCCTCCAAAGCATTGAGGAGCCACAAGGTCTCATCCCAGACTCTGCCAAACAGTACAGCTTTGAGCATCAGAGATGGCTCACCTCACACTGGCCCAGAGCCCAGGCAGAGCAAACTCACACCTGCATTCCAACATTCCATGTCAGTGATGTGTGATGGTTTTGAACTCCCGGTTTTATACCAGTCCTAGAACATGTAGGACTGCGTCGCCTAGCAAAAGCCCTGCTTGCTTTTCCACAATGGGAAAATTGCTCCTTTTTATGGCTATAGCTTGTTCCTCGCTAGGAAGGGTTTTACTGCTTTCTCTGCAGTAAGGTAAAGTGGGAAGGTCTTCTGTGGAGACATCTGTGGGGGGCCTTGGTGTCGCAGATGTTTCCAATGTCACGCACCTCTGTGGTCCAGACCAAACAGTGTGGGGGGAACTGGCCTGCTGCATGGGTGTCTGAGGTTTGTGTCTTGGCCCTGTGTGGACACAACAGCTGCAGGAATTGGGCACAGCGACGTGACTCTTCCTCAGTGCTGGAGGGAAACAAAACAGGACATGAACGTGGCTCTGGTTCTGCAAACAAGCCTGGGAGCAAAAGCAATGCCCCCGGTGACTGTGTTTGCTGTGTACACAGCTAATTATAGGGACAGCTTTTCAGGAGCTTCATTATGTACACTGGGGAGTTTAATTCCCTCTGCACCTTCCAGAGCTCTGCACCTAACCAACAACCTTGGGACCCAAAAGACAGCCCACAGGAAAAGCCTTCTCCTCCTGCAGCTGCTCTGCAGTATGCTCTGGGACTTGTGCAGCACGGATAGCCCTGGAGCACTGTGCTCAGGATGCCCTGGGCACAGACGGTGGAGGAGCCATGGGGTCTGCCTTAATCCCTGTGCTCAAAGGCTTCTGCAAGGCAGCTTTGGTGGGCTTAGCCGCTGCGATGGGGCATCCAAGGTGGCAAGTGGAGGCAGAATCTTGTGGAGTGGCAATCTCTTGTTTGTTGTCTTATTCTGGGGTTTTGTCCCCTGTTGTGTTATCTCTGACTTGAATTTGTGACGTACTTTACCCAGATGTTTTGAGCTGGCTGGAGCAGGCTAGTTTTGTTTTCGAGGGGAGGAAGTGCTGGATGCGAACTGACAGAGGGCAGGATGAGAGGGTTCCCTTTCCCCTCAGTATTGTGGAGATATCGTGGTGTGAGAGCCCCTGCTCTGCAGCAGTGCCTGAACTCACGGGACATTCAAAATAGCTAAGCCAGCAGCTGAGCCTGCCTGACAGCAAAGCGAGGCTGTGGAGGTGTGCGAGAGCTGCCGTCTTCACCCCAGGGAACAGGGAGCTACGTTGCACTGTGGAAGATGCAACTTTAACTTCATCCTTGGTGAGAAAGGATTCGAGTGCCTCCAGAAGCAGAATATTACAAAGACCTGGATGTTCAGTAAGGGGACTAATATTTTTTGTGTTTTTCTCTCCTGAACTGCTGCATGTGGCATAAAGTAAGTAAATGTTCCTTAGAGGTGAGCGCTGGGTCCCAGGGGTGCTCCCCACATACCCTTCCCAGGCAGAAACCAGTTGTCAGGTCCTAGTGGCACCATTCAGCTCTCTTGGGCACTTCCCTCTGGTACTTGCAAGTGCCCTGGGGATGCAGAGGTTTATGTTACAGCCCTTTCCTCGTCATTTCCTACTGGTTGGTGGGGTGTTTCCTCATGCAGTGTTTAGCTTTCATCAGCACTTCTTCTGCGTACACATACCCTTCAGGAGTCTGACTCTGGCTTAAGGATGCCACCAGGCAGCAAGAGACCTGAAGGGTGAGTTGGTGCTGAGAGTTGCTGCCCTTCTGTCCTGAGGTCCACAGTCTTGGCTCAGCTCCCCTTTGCTTTTATTCCCCTCTTGTCCAGCAGCTGATATAGTGCCATGTTTGCGTAAAATGTACTGAATATCAGCTTGGGCAAGGCTGCTTGGGGAAGGGGGAGTTCAACATGATACATGTCGTGTATCAACTGTTGTGGTTGCCATCTCATCTCACTTCTGTCTGTGAGCACAGAATTTGTTTCCTCCCTTTTGCGTAGTGTAGGCCAAAACCAAAGTCTGAATGCAAGGGTGGAATAGATGCAAGGGAATTAGACCTCTGAACTAGCCCCCATCTCCTGCAGGTTGAACCAAGACTTTCAATACAACATCTCTGCACCTCAGCTTTGTCACTCCCATCCCCCCGCACATGGAGTGCTGGGT